CATATAAAACCTTTTTTCAGAATGTTAAACAATTGCTTAAATATATCGGTACAACTTAACTTCAATGTTTTATTATAAAAATAAATCACATTTTATTCTCATCACAGATGTAGCTTATTATTTGGTCGGCCACGCCCGGCTATCATTTCTTACTTCTTACTGTTTTGTTTTGTTAAATTTTGTATTACAGTGTAATAGAAATTTGTGAAAAATTGTACAACTATTTTTATGAAAGCTTTTAAGATCGGCGCTTAAATTGTAGTACTCAGTTCAAAATACAAATTTTAAGTTATGCCAGTCTTATAGTAATAGAGCAATTTGATCTTCTTTAATACCATTTCATTATACATACATACATGTTTGTAATTCTTTTTTTGCAAAACCCTTAACTTGGATCTAAAATTATCAACCAAAACAAAACATTTCAATCTCTCATAAAACATTAAAAAACAATTAGTTAAACTCTTAAATGAATATAAATGTTATTAAAATAATGAAAGTTAAATTGTTGCAAAATTGTATAACATTTAAAAACAAGTTTAAATTAAGGAATGATTCACAACTAAATTTCTCTGCAATGTTTTTGGTTTCAAAATCATTAAAAAAAATTCCCTAAATTCTCTCGATCTGAAACTTTTCGTGTATCACAGATATACCCAAAATATGAACAAAAATAGCGGCCTAGTTGTATTTCTGATAGAGTTAATGTATTTACTATAAAGGGCAGGGAACTTGAGGAACTTAACCTGATCAATACAAATCTGTTCGATGTAGCAAGATCGGAGTTACAATCATGAACGAGAGAATCCTGCACGACCATTTGAAATAATGAAACTGTACGATGTAGCAAGAGCCGAGTTAGAAGTATGAACTATACATAGGATCACAAATATCCTATGTGATGACCCATAAGAGAAGACGATTATAGATTCTCATCAGAATGAATATAAAGGGCATGGAACCTGAGGTAGTTAACCTGATCAATACAAATCTGTTCGATGTAGCAAGAGCCGAGTTAGAAGTATGAACGATACATAGGATCACAAATATCCTATGTGATGACCCATAAGAGAAGACTATTATGGATTCTCATCAGAATGAATATGTCAGTATTTTGACTGAACATCTAAGATCGAATGATAAATATTTGTATAGGTCCCCAAGATATTTACTCATCTTTAGAGGTCAAAAACGAATCAAGCCAATTTGGGAAACGTGCATCGATCGAAAGACGATTGAGGCAAAACTTCCCTTACTATTTGTTTGTAAATTGTTTTTTATTACGTTTTCATATGTTGCCGCATATTCTGAGTATTTTTGGCACAATTCACGCTTTAAAGCTGGAGGTCCACACTACGCGTTTTCGCGTCAAAGCATTGAGTGCTTTTCATACCTTCTTTGCATCATACGCGTCAATTTTTTGCTTTATTTAAGAACTATAAGAACTTAGCGTTGTTTCAAGTTTTTTATTTATATTTTCACAATTTAACTTGTTTTAGTTTATTAAAATTGATAAATATCAGACCTGGGATAAATGCATTAAATGTGTTAATGCATTAACAATTTTTTCTACATTAAAAAAAATTAATGTTAATGCAAGTTTATTGCATTGGGTACATTTAATGCATTAAATTTGCATTAACATTAAATATTTTTAAATTTAATGCATTAATTTTACATTAACATTAAATATTTGTGAAATTAATGCATTAATTTTGCATTAACATTAAATATTTTTGAATTTAATGCATTAATTTTCCATTAACATTAAATAATAAATAATAAAATTAATGCATTAATTTTCCATTAACATTAATGTATAAAATAATTTATAAAAATAAGAATACAGCGCTAAAGACCTCGGTCTAACTAATTTCAAGTGAAATTGAATGTGTTAAAGTCCTTTCTAATAAGTCCTATACTCGATAATACATATTAGAAGAATAGTATCACTTCCCAGATATTCCATTTTTAGTTTATTTTGTTAAAGTTCTTTCTAATAAGTCCTATACTCTATAATACATATTAGAAGAATAATATCACTTCCCAGATATTCCTTTTTTAGTTTATTTTGTCTGTGGAATCTTATATAAATATCATATTTAAAACACACAAGTTTGAATGGAATATAGGAGTTATTAGAAAGGACTTTAACCTATTTAATTTTAGTTGTTTAGTTAGATCGAGGTCTTTTGAGCTGTATTTTTATTTATGTTTATCAATTTTTATATATATTAATGTTAATGGAATATTAATGCATTAATTTTATTGCTTATTTAATGTTAATGTAAAATTAATGCACTAAATTCAGATATATTTAATGTTAATGAAAAATTAATGCATTAATTTGAAAAATATTTAATGTTAATGTAAAATTAATGCATTAAATTCAAAAATATTTAATGTTAATGGAAATTTAATGCATTAAATTTTAAAAATTTAATGTTAATGCAATATTTTCTCTAATTTTTAAGTTATACAGGCAATATTTTTTCAAAAGATTAACCTATTATTCATAAAATTGGAATTAGTTTGTATAAGTACACAATAAATTCAATATTCATTACTATTCATTCAGTAAATTTTCTACGCAATTTTAGTTTCTTTTCTGACACTTATGTATGTATATGTATATTGTATAGTTTTTTGCAACTTTTTCATCATCTGGTTCTTATTTGTATAATTAGTCTAAACGCAAAAGTAGAACGCTTATTTATTTATTTTTAACATCAAATAAAAGATTATTTAAGAATTAAATACAAGTAAATACAAAAAACGACACACAAATCAAAAATGAAAGAAAAAAACTATTAAAAAACCAAAAAACTTATTGGCACACATTCTTCTTCATTTCCATCAACGTCATTTTCTTTCAAGTTATTTAAAATATTGTACAAATAACAACAAAATATTTACTAATAGTTGTGAAGGACAAGATGACAGACACAAGAAACAAATAGAAATTAACAATAACAACGCAAAATTTTTATTTTTAATTCACAAATTTTGTGTTTGCTATCAAAAAGCAGCTAAGACGACTTAAGAAATGACATATTTACATAAAATTCCATAACACTCTGAGAACGTTTTAATTAAATTTTTAAAAAAGTATAATTTTTGACTTAGACTGTTATTGCTTGTAACCAGAGAATTGGCTTCTTTCTATATTCTAATTAAACAATTTTGTTCTTTTTGTAGTTTTCTTCATTTTTTGATTTTGTTATTTATTTTTTTTTTTGTTCCTCTTTTAAATTGGAACAAATTAATTGCTTGTAGGCTTGTTGTATAAAATGAATGAATGACAAAATAGCCGCCACACATTTACAAAACATTATTTATTTATAAATAGTTTATTAAAAATCAACACAAAAATAACAAAAACAAACATTTAAGTAAATTAGTACAAAGTACACACAAACAATAGCAACAACTACAATAAACAAAAAAAAATCAAAAATATCTACATGTAGGTATGACGTTGTTTTTAATGATCAGCTGATTTTGGATTTTTTTATTCGAATTTTTGGTTTCTCTTGCTCTCATTTTCTCTACATTTTTTTGTATGTTGTTTATAATAAATGAAATGAAAAAGTATTGAAATAAATTGAAAAGTTTGTAATTTAATAAACAAAAATAATCATACGCCTAAGTGTTCTTAGAATGTAGAAGAATTGATTGGTTTGTTCTCTTTTTTTGTTATAGGATTCCAAGAATATTGGCTACGTGTATGGAAAAGATTTTTGCTTAGCAATAATAAACTATTTTGGATTTTGAATTATTTTTTCATATTTTTTTTTACCAATGTACTCATAAAGTTCCCCTCCCCCAGTGCATGTTACCTTGTTGAACCTATAATCATCTTGGTGTGATAGTAATACGGAGAAAAGAGGTGCTATGGATATCACTAGTCTGCCGGGACTATAAACTGGTGGTATCCTTGGAATTATTTGACCTGGGGTTGAACCAGAGAGCCATATAATCTAAGGAAACCGGTAGCTAACAGGACAGAGTTTCGGACTTTGTCTTGTCCCGGTTATGGGAGGGGTGCCTTCGGGGTATACGTGGTGGCTGTGGTTAAAACCCATATTTACGGGAAGAGAATGTTTGTTACAAGACGGTGAAATCAACATTTTGGGATAAGTTCGGTATTGTTGCCGTGATAACAGATACCCCGCAGAGAAGTGACTGTAGGATTAAGGGTTGGAAATGAGTTGGTGTCAAGTGTATATGATACGGGGTGGATGTAGATGCCTCACCAACCCGTATACCTGATAAAAGTCGATTGCCTCACTAATATTTTAGTATAAAATAACCAAATCAATAGGAAATTACAACCACAGTATCAAAAGTTTTAAACAAGTCTTTACCTAGAATTCAATATATATTCCTTACGCTCCATTAATATCAATGACACAATTTTACAATTTTATAAATTAAATTTTTAATGAATATATGAGTAACACGATTATAAAAGTTTTTCATAGAATTACAACTTCTGCTAATTTTAAAGGTGCTTTTAATCGATTGTATTTTTTCCGAAATATATTTTAACAGAAATTGTTCATTAAAAAAAAATTGTACTCGTATTTAGAGTGTGGGTTCTGCATTATGTTTGACGTTACAACTGCTTATTTTTACTTCAATAAATGGCGTCATGTTAATGTGAGGGAGTAAAAAGAAAACAAATGTTGAACATTGAATGTACGTTAAATAATTTGTGCCAATTTTGAAATATAAATGCAACAAATAATGTAGGTGGAGGAGGTTTCTTTTTTTTTCGTTCTTGTCATTTTACTTGAAAAAGAAATTACAGTGGTAAATGGTAATAAATGTCGTTGAATGGAGGAGAGTTAAAGAAAAGACGCTGGCACTGAACCGTGACTGGTAGACTGGGTAGATTTTGTCCTAACACATAATGTGACCGGGAACTGCCACTTTATTGTAGGAAGAATTTACTTAAAGTCTAATAAACTGGATTAATTTGTTTTCTATTTACTTACCCAATAGTTTTTCAAACACCTTCTGCTCCACTGTTCAGCACTGAATTTCCCAAACACTTTTAAATGCCACTTTAGGCTACTGGTTTATGTTGCGTTGCTCGTGCCTCCAATACAGACGTTTTGTTGCTTTTTGTTTAATAATATTTCAGTTCTTTAATATTTCAAGCATGGACTGCGCGTGTTTCTTTTTTTATCAGAATTCAAGTGAAACTGCCAAAAACATATCAAGAGATTTAATTTATTAGTGGATTGGCGAACATTTTAAACATAAATTTATGATTTAAAGTTTTTTCATATTCAAAAATAAAATAAAAACTGAAAAAGGTTAAATAGAACAAATTCAACATGGTCTTATGCTAAAAACATGGTTTCATTATTTTTTTAATATTTTCTTTATTTTCTGCGCTTTAAAGGGAAAAAAGCGCGCGCCTGCGCATGATGGACGAGCGAAGTGAATTTATTTAGTTTTTGCATATTGCTGTATTTTATCTGTTCTTTTTCGCATTTCGCTTTTTTATTTAACGATCGATATACAATGTGCGTTTTTATGGCAAAAAACAACTACAAGTCGTATGAAATAATATTAAAAAAAAAAAAACAAAATCACACTGAGATTGTTATAAACAAAATATCGAGTGCTTGGAATACTAATTAAAAACAAAGAGAAATGTTTGATGTTTAATCGTCGTCATTGTTGTTGTCTTCTTTACTTTATATGTATATTTATTGTTATTGTTGTTTTGGGTCAGACCGAACAATGTATGAAATCTTTAAAATTGTAACTTGATAAAGATAGATAAATAGATAGATAGATAGATAGATAGATAGATAGATAGATAGACAGACAGATAGATAGATAGATAGATAGATAGATAGATAGATAGATAGATAGATAGATAGATAGATAGATAGATAGATAGATAGATAGATAGATAGATAGATAGATAGATAGATAGATAGATAGATAGATAGATAGATAGATAGATAGATAGATAGATAGATAGATAGATTAGATAGATAGATAGATAGATAGATAGATAGATAGATAGATAGATAGATAGATAGATAGATAGATAGATAGATAGATAGAGATAGATAGATAGATAGATGATAGATAGATAGATAGATAGATAGATAGATAGATAGATAGATAGATAGATAGATAGATAGATAGATAGATAGATAGATAGATAGATAGATAGATAGATAGATTAGATAGATAGATAGATAGATAGATAGATAGATAGATAGATAGATAGATAGATAGATAGATAGATAGATAGATAGATAGATAGATAGATAGAGATAGATAGATGATAGATAGATAGATAGATAGATAGATAGATAGATAGATAGATAGATAGATAGATAGATAGATAGATAGATAGATAGATAGATAGATAGATAGATAGATAGATAGATAGATAGATAGATAGATAGATAGATAGATAGATAGATAGATAGATAGATAGATAGATAGATAGATAGATAGATAGATAGATAGATAGATAGATAGATAGATAGATAGATAAGATAGATAGATAGATAGATAGATAGATAGATAGATAGATAGATAGATAGATAGATAGATAGATAGATAGATAGATAGATAGATAGATATAGGAAATATATATATATATTTAAGTAGATTTCACTCCTTTAAAGAACTGACCAACACCAACGTTTAGAATTGTTTATTATAATTATTATTGTTATTTCTATAAACTTGTAATCAACATTCGTACAAATATTATTACGCCTAGAGTAGTAAATAATTCTTTAGCTTTGTTGGACATTTTTTATACGAAGATATTAATGCGCGGCATTTGAAACATGTGCAACATCTACAAAATGCAAACAGAACATGATTTGCAAATAAAAACATTAAAAAAAACTTATATTCCCATTTAACAGAAAAAGAAATATACATATATTTTTTTTATTTCTTAGTTTTCTGTTAAAGAAAAAAGAGCACCAAACAGCAGTTGTTGTTAAAAAAGAAGAAATAATAAAAAATAATTATAATAAAAAAAGAAATCACATTCCATTTTTTATAACGTATGAGATTCCAAAAGGGGGAAACATGTTGTTATGCAGTTGTGGGTGTTTATTTTAATTTATAAAGTTGGGGGAAGTATGCCCTGTTAAGGGAAGTGAATATGAATTTGAATGAATTTTCTTCTGGAGTCTTTTAAAAAGTTTTACAATTTGCCTAAAATCTAGATATACAAAAGTCGGTAAAGAGGCACAATGTATAGAAAATAAAATTTTGAAATTTAACCCTGAATATATAAATTAAAGTCAGTTTCTCGAGGTCAAATGAACACAATTTCCACAATTTAAATTTTCTTTATTCATATTATAGAACTTTAAGTTAACTTGATTTTCTTGAGAGTATTTGTGTAGGGATTCTTTCCCTTTTCTGTAATAAACTTAAGTATACTATTTTGTTCATAATTTACTCCATGATCATCATCATAATAATTTTGTTGTTATTTTTTCTTAAAGTTCTGCAAGAATTGAAATTGATCGACAGCTGACTTTTAATGTCAAGACTGTCAAAATTGTTTTCTGCTAAAATTATACAGCAATATTTGTTTACATTTAATGTAAAGTTTAAATTAAAAAATTGTCTAATCGCTTAATATAAATTAATTGTAAATTATAAATTTAAAAAAATTGCACAATTTTATTAGAAAATTTTTAAAACGGACTTTTATTAAATATGTGATCAGTTGGATGGGACTTTTGTTCGTATTTTTTTTTTAATTATATCTAAAATAAAGCGTTTTAATTGATCATTGGAAAAAAGAAAATATTTTCAAACAGCTTTTCAAATTTGATTTTTCAAAAAAAAAATTTTAAGATGTTTTTTATTTAAATGAATTATTTTAGAATAAATTTTGAAACTTTATTTAAATATTTTATACATTTCAAAACTGTTTGGGATTTTTTTTAATTTAAATGAATTTTTTATATTAAATTTTGAAACTTTATTTAAATATTTTATAGATTTTAAAGTAGGTTTTACAAATATTCACTTTTGAATTAAGAAATATTTAAATAAAGTTTTTTTTTAATTTTGTTTTTATATTAAAATTGAAAAAAAAGCATCTTCTTCAAACAGTATTTAATGATCCATAAATACATACCTACAATTTTAAACGTCTGTTTTATAACAGAAAAATGTTTGTTTTATGGCTTTTAGTTTTTCACTTTTAGACAAGCTGACTGACACTCACTAGCACTCTTTAATATGCACAAATCGATCATTAGAATTTTCCTTAACACATACTTTTAGCATTTCATGTATTTTCACGATTTTTTTCATTATTCACTTATAGAACTTTGCAAAAACAAATGCCGAAACTTCCATAAACTCATACGTAAGAGTAATTTCTTCTTTCATTCGCCTTTTTTCTGTTTAAAATAAAATCAAAACAAAAAAGAAATAAAATAACCAAGGCACGCTTTAATAAAATAGTTTCGGTCTATATAGAGAAAAAGTATTCATACAACACGCAAAATAGCTAGTGGATACCCGCGTCCGTCGTAACGCGTTGTATTGATCAACTGTTTTCACGTACACACAACGAAATTTTAAATGAAAATACAATTCGCGCATACTACTACACCACAAAACCTCCCCAATTTGAATTTGAATAAAACAAAAAAACGCACACTACTCAAACATTCGATTCACAGCAGTCGACTCTCCTCGTATTATACCGTTCAAATAGAGACGATCGAGCGGCCGACCCAACCGACTGATCAATCGACCGACAACATAAAAAATTGCGAGCAAATTCATTACAAACAATAATAGCAACAACCACAACAACAAAAAATAAACAAAAATATTTACTCACACTCTAAATATGTATGTAGTACTCGTGCAATCGTACTCATCAGTAGTATCAGTAGCAATAATTTAAATTCTTTACAAATTCAAATTGAAAACCAACAAAACATATGATTTCGTTTTTGTTTTGGCATATTTATGTAGACTACTAATACTTACTTATACTGCATACCACAACTACTGTTCTCTTTCTTACATTCCGTTAGTTTTATACTTATGCTCTTGCTGTCCTCGCCTAACTTCCTCCCTCCCCCTTCCTTTTATGCAGTAATTAAAAATTTTATGCAAAGAAAATTTCTCTCATTCTTTTTATTACTTTTACACATACAGTTACTTGCACGGCATTAAATTAAAAAAAAAACACACACAAAATAACAAGAGTAATTTTTTGTTTATTTTGCTTTATTGTTGTTTTTCTTAGTGTTGATGGGGAGGCTGAGAAATTCTTTTAGTGGGTGGCATGTTACTGCAATAAGTATGTGTATACCGACCAGCAGCGGCGTCCTCATCTGTTCAGGTCATGGGTATTTTTCTTGTTTTTTTTTTTAATTTCTCATTTGTTCTTAGTTGTAAATTTATGTATTAATTGTAAAAATTATAAGCAGATGCAAGGTGTGAAGTTAATTAATTGTTCCAACAAAATGTTTATTGTTGGAGGATAGTTTTAGAAGTGTTTTTTCTTTGATTCCGATTTGGACATTACTCCAATGTAATGAATTTTAGTCCAGGCTTTCGTCACGTCTTTATTGAAGATTATAGTTTAATTTACAGTCAAAACTATAGCCAGGTCTTTCAAAAAGACTATGTACAGTCTGGTCTATTGTCAAGATTATAGTTTAGACTATAGCCCAACCTATAGTCCAGACTATAGGTTGGGCATTCTATAGTCGAGACTATAGGTTGGGCATTCTATAGTCGAGACTATAGTCCAACCTATAGTCAAAACTATAGTCAAAACTATAGTCCAACCTATAGTCAAAACTATAGTCCAACCTATAGTCAAAACTATATTACATCCTATAGTCTATTCTATAGTTAAGACTATTGGCTAGTCCATAGTTAAGACTTTTGTCCAGTCTATAGTCAGGACTATATTCCAGTTTATAGTCAAACTATATTCCAGTCATAGTCCAGTCTATATTCAAGACTATAGTCCAGTCTAAAGATCTGCAGTTATAAATTATTTTCATACAAAATTTGATTTTTGAATGAAAAAAGCATTGTTGCTCCGACCAAAAGAGTCATGTGAAAATTCGAATCATTCTAAATTATATTTACAAAAGTCTTGTAGCAAATGATGTTGAGATTATGAACTAGGTTCGCATGAAACATCTAACTTAAAATTTAATTATCGTAATTACAAAATAATACAATTTTTGATTTTTCATATCGAGGGACTATATTCAATAGTCGCTGTCATTTTTATGAAAATGAGATTTTGATGGCAAAATATTCAGCAAACTATCGCGTATCAGTGATATAAATTTCAAAGAAAAAAAAATATTTTTTGGCAATTTTATAGCATTTTTTAAATTTCTCTATCTTTAAAAAAAGAAAAATCCAAAAATTGCTTCAAACTCGATCCCTTTGGATAATTTTCTGTTGCAAAACAAGTCTTCTTAATAATTTGGACATGCTGAACACAAAATATTTAAAATCGGTCTAATAGTTTTTGAGATATCGCTCATTATGATACTAATTAAATCAATTTTATTGTCGTGTTTAACCATATAACATTGATTTTGGACCAAAACATTATAATCTGTTGCATTTTCAACAATTTGGTTTCTTTTCCTCCATTAAATTGTATAAAATATAATATTTATTGATTTTAATTCAAATAAAAATTTTATGTTTCCATGAAAAACTCTCTATCTGTTGGTTGAATGAACATTTTCGTAGAAAAATAAGCTCTATCTGATATAAATTTGTGAATAATTTTGTAAATAATGCAAAAATTAAAATTCTTTTTATATAATGGTTTAGAATATGGTCGTAAAAATATATTGTAAAAGAAAAAATTAAAAAATCTTCACGAACTAGCGAAATAAAGAGTTTTTTTGCTCTCCTGAAAACTTGTATTATTTTAGATAGAGACTATTGAATATAGTCCCTCGATATACAAATTAATTTTACAAAAATTTACGCTATTTTCTCATTCGGAGCTTTATTTGAAAATCTAAAGCCGACGTTTTTTTAGAAATTATCGCAGTTTTCTCCATAAATGTGTTATTTAATGATAGACAGCCGCTTTTAGAATTCTCATACAAAAATCTATTTCTGTTGGAAAATCGCAGATTTTACCCCTTTTCTCTTCTGGAACGTTGATTAAGGTCACACATCTGATGTATAATTTTCATATGAGTGATCACAGATTCCCGTTATTTTCACAACTGGAGCGTTACTTAAGGATGATTTTTCATATACATACAAAGTTATTTTTTATGGAAAATATAGCCTAAGGTTTTTCCTAGGTATACTCTAACTGTATACTGAAATCCATGTTAACCGCTTCAGTAGTTTTGCCATAATTCAATCATGAAAAATAGACAAAAATACTTTTTTTTAAATATTGTCTACAGAAAATGTTCAAAAAAATCTATAAATTAAAATGATTTTCTTAATTTTCGAAAATATTTCGTTTTATAATTATTATTGAAAAGTTTTTTAATCCTTTTTATATTAAAATATTAACTTTAGGTATTTTTTCGCCATTATCATCCGGTAACACATTATTGCAATCAAATGACATGACTGGCATCACTGAAAATCGTTTCATCTTAGACATAAACCCATAAAACATATGGCAACTATATTGGACAAAATTGATAATGCCGTTGTATGTTACTATTGTTTTTAGTCTCTATAATATTTACAATAACCTAAAATTGTTTTAAAAACAATTATTTTTCCTTTCAAACAATAAACAAATAAATTTTCTTAACAAAAAAACAATTTTCTTCATCATCTGCCTTGAATTTAGCCGGAAAACCGCCTTATCTTTTATTTATTTTCCACCTTCCAATTCGATTAGTCCACTCTTGTTTTTTTATTCGTTTGTTTGATTGTGCACAAAACAAAATACAATGGCTGTCGTGTCAGTTGTCGTAGAATTCGTACGCAGTTTGCTACTTTTAGAAAAAAATTCTTAAAAATTTTGCCGTGTCGTGCAGTGAAATGTTATAAAATTGTAAGTTTTGCAAAAAAACTAAAGAAAAATTACCGTGAAAATTTTGCCATAAAAATAACCTCAAAATGTTTTAGAAAAAGGGAGGTTATAAAGTAAATGAAATACAAATACCCAAAAATTAATTTCTAAAAAAAAAGTAAAATTAAAACGTGCTTTTCTTAGTGGTCGCCTAGCGAGCACATGTGATGTAATCAAGATAAATGGCTACGCCTGACCCGTATTTGTACATTGGTGGAAATTTCTTTAATTATTTATGTTAGGTGTTAAATGCGGTGTTTGTGCTGAAAACAAAAATGTAAATAAATAAAAGGCATAACCTCATTTGGCCATAACCTTAAATGGCAATAAAATGGAAATTGGAACAAAAAAAAATATATTGCAATCTTCATAAACTTGGAATTATTAGTTAAACACCGATATATATGGATGATAAAGAAGAAGAGCAAATACACTTCGGCTAATTTGTTTCATATAAGAATTTTTCTCTGTGGCGGCTTTCGTTAGTGGAACAATAAGTCGTTAAGGCAGTGCTTATTTCGAATGTGGAATGTAAAGTGTGAAAGAGATAACTATAGTGTGTTAATGTTATTGGAAATTTTGTGTGTAAATGTTGCCATATTAAAATTGTAAAAAACATGTGTTTGTTGCTGTTGTTGTTGAATTTTCCTTTACCACCCATTTGTTGATTTTTCTAATTTGCTTTGCTGTTGTTGCTTAGAAAACATAAAAAAACAAACAAATTTTACAATTTAGTGCAACAACGTGTTTTTCTTTCGTTCTTAGTGTTTGTAGGGGGGCAATAAATAAATTAATATTTTATAAAATTCAACTTCAGTTTAAATACAAATATAAAAATTCCCCCTTTTTTAGTGCTTTCTCAATACGAAAATCAATTGTGCTTTAATTTATTATGGATAATCATGGCTATGGTGGCATACAGTGGATACAACACCACTCTAGTAATCACTCTTCCTCCCATACGGGAGATATGAAAACTGCTGGTCAGTTGCTAATCGATCCTCAGCCACCGCGTGAAGAGGATCTTATGGCCAGTGCCACCAATTCTTCTGGAGACTTTATGCACACCGAAGATGAAACGGACTCAGCAACTATTGCCCAAATTGCGGCTGAAAATCTTATATTTATGGCACGCGATGGTCAAATGATGACGGAAATTATAACAAATGCTACGACGGATGCCAACGGAACAGTGGTTGTGACTGCCAGTGATGGCGAACAAATTGACTGCGATAGCATTATGGAACAAGCTGCCTTAATTCAACAGCACGAAGATGCTGGTGGTGGAGTGTATAGTGTAGAACATTTTAGCGAGAATACACCGCAAATGGTAACAGAAGAGGTCATCACCGATGATTGGGTGCAGCATCAGGGAGAAGAAAGGTAAGTTTTGAGAATATGTTTAATTTGTGTGTAGTGAAAGTGTCTGATAAACTGAAGACAGACCCATATCGACGTTTCAAACCGTATCATTCGTCGAAAAAGTGAGATTTGAGTTTAAGCTCTAAAAGTTTGAATTTTTAAATCTATGAAAAAATAAACGCATCAAAGCTGTCAAAGTATTAATCTTAAAACACATAGATAATGTAAATATTAGAAAACTGAAAACGTTGTTATTACTCTTAGAAATTGTGTGGAGTTGTGGATTAAGGCAGTAACATCAGACACTTCCATTTTTATAAGGAAGCAGGTTTATATTGATTAGACAATAGGTTCTATTGTAAGAATGTAAGAATCTTGAAATGTTTTAGATTCTCTGCAGGATCCTCACATCTGTCCGCCTTTATTCAACGATTTAGTAAACCTTTGAAACGTTAATATGTCTGACGTTTCAAATTCTAAAAGATTAGAAGATTTTCCCATCCCTATTCAGGAAATGACAAAACCAAATTCATCGTTTTTAATGGAAACCCCTATAATATTTAGATATTCTTTTTTTTTTTTTTTTTTTTGAGATTATAGCTTTTTTTATATGTTAACTTCCAAATCGTTTCAAATAATAATATTTTTTTTATATAGAGTTGAAATACCAGCTGAACAAATAATTGGTTCAAGTTCTCAAGTGCTGCTCGATATTGAAGTGCCCCTGCCAACTGTACAAGATGAATATACTGCCCTGCGTCCGTATCCCTGTGACTTTTGTAGTCGACGTTTTCGTAAAAAAGCAAGTCTAATGAATCATATGGTGGCTCATCAAACAGACCGGCCACATTTGTGTAAATTATGTGGAGCCAGATTTCTAAGAAGACAAGATCTCATAAATCATCTAAAAGGACACGCAGAAGAGCCCACAGAACCGCAAATTGATGATAGTGATTGTAAGTAGAATGAGAAATAGATTATTAAAGAAAATTTTAATTAATAATTTTTATCATTTCACAATAGTCATACATTTTGTTACCGATACCACTTCTTCCTCACAACGCACTTCCAATGATCATTATTATGAACAAGATTGGAGTGTACCAGAAGATTCAGTAACTATACCAACAAAATCTAGTCGTAAACATCAACAACAACAATTACAACATATTACCTCCATTTCTAATCAACCAGTAATGATGGAAAATACTATAACAACAACCTCTTCTTGCATTACACAAGATGCAGTAACAACTCAGCAAACTACAACCGCGCCGCCCAGAGGACGTATAAGTCGTCTGAAGCCTAAAGAGGATACTTCCTATGTGGTTGAAGTAGCCAATAATTGTTCATCAAGTGAAATGATTATAACTTCGGCGTATAGCATTGTAGAGTGCGATACTTTGTCTGCCAATACGGCAGCTGTTAAACTGTCTCAGGATAATACACCCGCTCTGAATGAAAATGAAGAAGAACATAATGTTCTACACTATCCCGTAATAGACGATAGTAAACCATTTGTTTGTCAACAATGTGGTTTGGCATTTTCCCGGGAAAAAGCCATGTTAGCGCATACTAAGGTAAGTGCATTTATAAAATAGTATTTTTTTTAATTTGAAGAAAGTGATGTTTGAGTTCTAACAAACTTTTTTTATGTTTGAGGGCTGTGTGCTCAACCTTTCTATGTTACGACTAATAGCACAACCTTGAAATACAGCTGATTCTTAATTATTTTAAATATATATTTAAACCGTAAAAATGTGTAATAAATTTTATATATTTTTCTTTTTCTTAACATAGACCCATCGCAATGACTCCCCCTTTGAGTGCCCTCAATGTAACGAATTGTTTTGGGATCAAAATAGTTTACAGGATCATCAGAAAACCCATCAATTTGAAGAAAGTAACTCGGAATATGATCCCAATGAAGGCGAAGATGAAACACAAACAGAATCAGAGTCCGAACAACAATTATATGGTGAATTTTATTGTAGTGAATGTGGCATGTCATTTCATCGTCAGGATCTATTAAAACGACATGCTAAAAGTCATCCCTCAGGTAATACCGCAAACATTAGTCAATCTACAAATAATGGTTTGGAAAGTAGCAGTAGAGATCAACATTGTTGTAATACATGTGGAGAAACGTTTGCCGAGGCTTTAGATTTATTAGCACATGCTGAAATACATGCACGTTACCCGCCTTTTAAGTGAGTTTTTATCCTTTACATATTTTTTTTATTAAGGACAATTTTTATTTATTGGTATTTCTTAAACAGATGTGTCTTATGCGGTGAATCCTTTTTCGAAGAAACCACCATCAAAAAACATCTACAGTCACAGCATCCTAATGAAATCACTGAAAACTCTTGTATCTTATGTGGCAAAGAGTGTCGTGATCGCAAGGCTTTAATGAAACATGCCTGGGATCATTCACGTGAAAAATGTCACTCTTGCTCGAAATGTGGCAAAAATTTCCACAATAAAGCCCGCCTTAAACGTCACATGGCCTCACATCGTGATAAATCCGTTCAATGTGATGTTTGCCATGAAGAGTTTCCCGATGGTCGTACTCTATCCAATCATCGTCATTCACACAGTGCTACTTCGGCGGGAAAACTATTTCCCTGCCAAGAATGTGGTAAAACCTTTGGCTCTCGCAGTTCTCAGCAGATACATGTACGCATTCACACCGGCGAAAGACCTTATGGTTGTCGTTTTTGTTGGAAAGCTTTTGCTGATGGTGGTACACTGCGTAAACATGAACGTATTCATACGGGAGAGAAACCGTATGCCTGTTCCGTTTGTCCGCGTGCTTTCAATCAACGTGTTGTCTTGCGTGAGCATATACGTTCACATCATTCGGGTTTGGATGCTAAACGAGGAACTTATTACTGTACAGTTTGTGGTGCTGAGTTATCCTCATCGGGTGATCTAATACAACATTTAATACAACACAGTGATATGAATACTGCCATGCAAAGGCAACCCGTGGTTAGTTTTTTTATATATTTTATTTTACATTTTTAATTAAATTTTCTTTCTCGCAGACTGGTCCCCGCAAATATAAACGTCGACGCAAATTGAAGCCCCATGAACTGGCACGACTAAAGCGTGAGGTCAAACATAATGGTGGTACTGGCAGTGATATTGATTTATCCGATTTTGATATAGACAATGTAGACGATCTACTGGCAATGACAACAGACAGCAATACTGCCACTGAAACGGTAACAACCATAAATCAGGAACCAACAAACATCTCCCTACCGGGAAAAGCAACAAAGCGAAAAAATGCCTCCTCTACCTCTACCCCACACTCCGAAAGCAATAATAATAGTAAAACAAAAGCAGCCAGCAACAATAAGACCAACAAAACACACATTTTAGAAGATCAAGAAGACTTTGATTTAGATGTAGGTTTAGATGAGGGTAATGATGAAATTAAGAAACAACGTTATAATTCTTCAAGTAGTGATAAAATCTGGCCAACAAAACAGACTGATGACACATACAAAACCTTGCTGTCAAATTTAGAAACAACAACTTTGTTATCCAGCATAGACACCTTGGTGGTGGGACCCTCAACAAAATCCTCTTCCCATAGCCTAGAAAATAACACAATTGATCCTCAAGCTCGCCAAACAAAGCGTAAAATTAAGCAAGAGTCCAGCTCAACGGCTCAGAGAACTCAACAGGTGCAATTAACAAGAGCAGACAAAGATTCCTCTACTGCCACACATAGCAGAGGTCGTAAAAGTAAAACTGCCACCAACAAACAAAGCAAAGGACCACAAATGATACATACTGAAAAATCTACTATAACAACAACGTCAGACAATGCTGGGGGATCGGGCAAAAAGAAAACAAAATCAATTATTACCAGAACTCAAACTACAACTTTAGATTTACTGCCAAAAACTTCGGCCATAGTAGATGATTATGACATTATATCGCCTGCCTTGCAGCCACCAAAACAAATCAGCTCTAGTCCTTTGCATATAAAACAGGAACAAGATAATCACAATCACAATTATCACCATAACCAATCCCACCAACAACAGCCGCAGCATCATTTAATGAAAAATCCTCCAAATACAAATCACAGTACATCTGCCCGAACCCAGTCCAATACCCGCCATACAAACGCCAATGATCTCTATGATGCCCACTTATTGCTGGAGGCTTCATGTCTACGCAGCGATCTAGATGAAATTCTAAGATCACCCTCTAAGTCATCGGATAAATCACGTCAACGTTTTACCAGTGAATCATCTACACAATTTTTAGCCGAACAATCCGAAGAAGAGCAACATTTGATAAAAATTGAACCCACTTCGCCAGATCTGAGGGAAATCGTTAATGGAGCTAGTTCAGTTAGTACCAGTGCAGCACAAGCAGACCTGGAACTGGAAGTTACCAACAGTAAAAGTCGTAAAATTAATAAATCTTCTAGAATTTCGAAAACAAATCGTAAATTTTTAGCTTATCTGGCTGCTGATCTGAATAGTGATGAAACCTCTTCTAATCTTAACAAAAGAACTTCTTCAAATTCACTGCATACAATTCACTCCACAAAATCTGCACGCACTGAACCAGCTAAAACTTTAAAAACTGTTCAAAATCCCAGTACTACTACATCGTACTTGGACTACACCATGGTGGATACATTTAATACGGTTACAAGTTCCTCTGCGAATAATAACAATTCATTCTCTTCCATCTCGGCTGTAGTTTCGGCAGCCGATGCTTCTGCAGCGGCTCAGCAAAATTCCTCGGCGGCTGCTGTGCGTAAACCTCAGCGCTATTTTGAGTGTGAAATGTGTAGCGCCATATTTTCGGATCGTGCTCAACTATTGGACCATGTGCCCATACATATATAAACGCTTTTATATTATTACTACTGCAGATAAAACTACAAAACAATCATTATGCCACTAATGTTATTTATACTCGTTTATTGTAATCAATTGTTCTACAAACATAGGTCGGCATCAGAAAGAAATGTGCTAATTGCCTGTTCTATGGATTTATTTATTGAACTACAATTAGTATTTTTTTGTCAGATTTTGATTTTTTAAAAAAATTTAGGCGCGACCAATGTTTTAAAAAAACAACCACCACCATAGTGCCAACAATTCTTTTTTGTGTTCAATTTATATAAATATCTTTTTGCTTTCAAACTTTGCTTTTGATTTGCTTTTGATTTTGTAGATAATTTTTATTAGATTATTTTATTTAATTTTCTTTTCTTTCTTAATTGTATATTAAGTGCTACTATTTAAAATAATTTCCTTTAAATATGAAACGAAACACACATGTAATGTAGTTTTAGTTTTTAACTTTAGAAAAACCTTTCGTTACCTTTTATTTAGGGTAATTTATTTTATTTTAATTAATTCGCTAACAAAATTTAATTTGTTATTTTCTTTTTATTGATTTAAGCTGTAAACAAAGAAATTTTCAAATTTTGTTGCTTATTAATCTGTTAAACAGATTGTGTTTTTAATTAATATAATTCCCTTTTTTCTCTCAATATGAACAATAAAGAACAAAAACAATATTTTGTAAAATTAAAAAAAAAAAAAAATAATACCAATTGGAAATTATTGAAGAAACTTTTCTTAAGTCATTAAAAAAATTTAAAGGATAGATTGCGGATTTTTTTTATCATAATTCAATTATTAAATTTTCAAACAGTTAATGAAAACAAGTTTTAATTTAAAACAACAATTTTGAGATTATTCCTTTTTCATATTTAATGGTTGTCAAACTCATCATAGCATATCTACATAATTGTTTCTCTCAAATATGACCAGTTATAACTGTTATATGAAAAGTCAAAACTGTTTTATCCTCCTCATACCCTCTATAAAATATAGTTTACATTATCAAACATATGGTAACTCTTTACAATCCAATCGGAATTTTTGTCAGTCTCTTTTTGTTCTCGTTAAAATTCGCCGGTTTATAGTTTGCTCCAATATAATTAATATTTTTAATTATTTAAAGTTACTGAATCATAATAAATTTAGTGTTAAAATGATCAGTATTGATTATTCTATATAATTATTAAATAAAAAGATCAGTTACCAGCAATAGTAAAGTGAAAATTTAGAAAAAAGTTTGTGCAAATTTTCATACATCACGTTGTTAGTAATCGTGTAATGAAATTTTAATACAAGCCAAAAAAAAGAAGAAGAAAAACAAGATGTCGGTTAGAAAATGTCAGTTCATTAAATTATATTATAAAATAAATCCATTTATTATGAAAATAAAATATAAATTAAAAGAAAAGAAAGCTTTTTTAATAAATAAAGCATAATAATAATTTAAATTATAATTAAGTTAGCAAGTGCCTGTTAAAAGTTAATGCAATGTGAAAATATATGAAAAAGCAAAATGAAAAAGTAGTTAAAAATTATCAATATAATAATAGAGCTTTCCAATCAGGCATTCTTTCCAATGTTTCAAAGTTTGCACAAGAGCCTGGTTTTACAATGGCCTATCTTGAAAATAAAGTGAGTGTCTTATGTTTCCTCAGCTTCAAGATATCTCAGATCATCATATTTGGTAAGTGAATCACATTTATAAAATTATTTAAGTTTATATCATTTTCATTGGGATAAGCTTTTAAAGAAATAGATAGTTCAAAAATGAAGGGTGTGAAGTTAAATTCGTCTGCCAGATACGTCCCACATTACATATGTCAAATACGTTCCACATACTATAAAATTCGTTTTCAAATGAATTAAAATTTATTTTTTAATAAAACGAGCACCAAATAAAATGTTTTTTAAGAAATAAAGTAAAATTATATTAAAATATATTCAAAAAATTAATATATAAAATAAAAATTAGTTAAAATAATTTTATACTCGTCAAATATGGTAGTAAAATATAGAATTTTCAAATGCAAAAAACAGACACTTGGAGAAGACATGAATCGAGGTACCGGCAGAGTGGAAGTAGCCCAGGACTAGTTCTTTCCAAAAACATATAGTTTGTATGCAATTCCAGCTCTGGATAATTTTGAAAAATTTTTTGAAAAATCATCAAATTTTGCCAAAAATAATGGAATTTTCAAGTGGCTCCAAAGAGCATTTGGAGAAGACATGAATCGGGGTACCGAAAAACTGGAAGTAGCCCAGGACTAGTTCTTTCCAAAAATGTATAGTTTATATGCAATTCCAGCTCTGGATAATTTTGACGAATTTTTGAAAAATCATCAAATTTTGCTAAAAATAGTGGAATTTTCAAGTGGCTCCAAAGAGCATTTGGAGAAGACATGAATCGGGGTACCGAAAAACTGGAAGTAGCCCAGGACTAGTTCTTTCCAAAAATTTATAGTTTATATGCAATTTCAGCTCTGGATAATTTTGACGATTTTTTGAAAAATCATCAAATTTTTCCAAAAATAGTGGAATTTTCAAGTGGCTCCAAAGAGCATTTGGAGAAGACATGAATCGGGGTACCGAAAAACTGGAAGTAGCCCAGGACTAGTTCTTTCCAAAAATGTATAGTTTATATGCAATTCCAGCTCTGGATAATTTTGACGATTTTTTGAAAAATCATCAAATTTTGCCAAAAATAGTGGAATTTTCAAGTGGCTCCAAAGAGCATTTGGAGAAGACATGAATCGGGGTACCGAAAAACTGGAAGTAGCCCAGGACTAGTTCTTCTTAAAAATATATAGTTTATATGCAATTCCAGCTCTGGATAATTTTGACGAATTTTTGAAAAATCACCAAATTTTGCCAAAAATAGTGGAATTTTCAGGTGGCTCCAAAGAGCATTTGGAGAAGACATGAATCGGGGTACCGAAAAACTGGAAGTAGCCCAGGACTAGTTCTTTCCAAAAATATATAGTTTATATGCAATTCCAGCTCTGGATAATTTTGACGAATTTTTGAAAAATCATCAAATTTTGCCAAAAATAGTGGAATTTTCAAGTGGATCCAACGGGCATTTGGAGAAGACATGAATCGGGGTACCGAAAAACTGGAAGTAGCCCAGGACTAGTTCTTCTTAAAAATATATAGTTTATATGCAATTCCAGCTCTGGATAATTTTGACGAATTTTTGAAAAATCACCAAACTAAAACCAAACTAAACTATATATTTTTAAGAAGAACTAGTCCTGGGCTACTTCCAGTTTTTCGGTACCCCAATTCATGTGTTCTCCAAATGCTCTTTGGAGCCACTTGAAAATTCAACTATTTTTGCCAAAATTTGATGATTTTTCAAAAAATCGTCAAAATTATCCAGAGCTGGAATTGCATACAAACTATATGTTTTTGGAAAGAACTAGTCCTGGGCTACTTCCACTCTGCCGGTACCCCGATTCATGTCTTCTCCAAGTGTCTGTTGTTTGCATTTGAAAATTCTATATTTTACTACCATATTTGACGAGTATAAAATTATTTTAACTAATTTTTATTTTATATATTAATTTTTTGAATATATTTTAATATAATTTTACTTTATTTCTTAAAAAACATATTATTTGGTGCTCGTTTTATTAAAAAATAAATTTTAATTCATTTGAAAACGAATTTTATAGTATGTGGAACGTATTTGACATATGTGGTGTGGGACGTATCTGGCCGACGAATTTAACTTCACACCCTTTCAAAAATGTATGACTTAAAGAAAATGTTAGTTTAATATAATAAAGGGCAATAATTTATAGATAAACAAGTAAGAATGTACAGTCGGGTATGGCCGATCATATGATACCAGTGAGTTCGTTAAAAATGTTCTTTGCTAATAAATAAAGCATTTAATTAGTTGTTTGCCTTAAGATAAAAGGGGGTTAAATACGGGTTATGGTAAATATGGGCCTATCCTTATAAATTTTGTTAGAGAGATTTACGTCTAGATTTAAGATTTGGTCGTAATTTTCTGAAGTTAATTTTGTATGAGGCCCGATAATTACGAAAAGCATTATCATTTATATTTATATAAAACTAAGTTTTGTCTTTTAAAGACATACTAGAATATAATTATAAGCACAAAGGACCTATTCGAGTGGTGCGGTTGTATGAGGGCTAGACGACATAATGGACAGATTTTAATCATTTTACGTAGGATTCGTCCGTGAGTCAAAAGACATTTGCCAAATTTTAACAAATTATCACATGGACACAGACGAGCATAGCTAAATCACTCGGAGAGTGATTCTGAGCCGATTGGTATAAAATAAGGACCAATATTTTTGGGTGTTACAAACATCAGCAGTTTGATATTAAATATTAGTTTTTATAATAGAAAAAAATCTTATTAAAGCAATAGTCTCCAATGAAAGGAAAATTGTTAAAGAAACACTATCTATTGCTCAAAAATTATCTTTGTATCACATATAAATGGTTGTTGTTTTTCCGCCACAATATCAGTGTTGCCTGGAGCTTCAGGAAAAAAGAATAAATTGGTCTTAAAAAAGGCCAGAAAAAGCTAAAACGTTTAAACTTATTAAAACAAGTGAAAAATTACAGTCAATGAAATGATAACCTAAATAAATGTTTTTCAAAATGTCTAGAATGGCATTTTATCCAAAAGATACCAATTCTCATTTTAAATATTTATATTTGTAAATAATTCTGTTTACCAAACTTATTCTTTTTATCATAAAAATCGCTCCCTATGTTTGGATGGCAGTTATTACTGCCAGCAACCTCGATACATCCCGGATATTTTGGGTTATAAATCGACAAGTGAGTTTTTCATTGAAAGAATTCCATATTAATTTGGACCCTACGCGTGTCTAGAGGAAGAAGAAAAGGATACCACTGTTGATAAAACCTTACAAAGTTGTTACTGAAACGGCTTTAGAGATATGCAGAGCAGATCCCGTTCTGTCTAGCCTTGGCAGGCCATTAATGAAAGTAGAGTCGCTAGGCTATCGACAAAAATCCCAATATATTCCTATATATCACAATCAATACTCTTTCCATAAAGTGTTCATTATTCATTATGTCTAAAATAAACTTAACTTTAAAGGTTACAAATCTGAAAATTTTTCAAAATTTTCTTATAGCGAACTACTGAACACCTAGTGATCTGTTGTATAATTAAAATATAATTAAATTTTCAAATGAGAAGCCGGAAAAAAGCTAGAAAATAAACATAAATTTCTAGGCTAAATGATAAATAAAAGGCCTAACCTGGCAACACTGCACAACATATAAACTTATTTTTCTCAAAAAAGCCCAATAATAACTGCTATGTAAAAAATAAAAAACTGTTTTATCATCTCAATATTCTCTGTAAAAGGTAATAAACGGCTTTAGAGATATGCAGAGCAGATCCCGTTCTGTCTAGCCTTGGCAGGCCATTAATGAAAGTAGAGTCGCTAGGCTATCGACAAAAATCCCAATATATTCCTATATATCACAATCAATACTCTTTCCATAAAGTGTTCATTATTCATTATGTCTTAAATAAACTTAACTTTAAAGGTTTCAAATCTGAAAATTTTTCAAAATTTTCTTATAGCGAACTACTAAACACCTAGTGATCTGTTGTATAATTAAAGTATAATTAAATTTTCAAATGAGAAACTGGAAAAAAGCTAGAAAATAAACATAAATTTCGAGGCAAAATGATAAATAAAAAGCCTAACCTGGCAACACTGCACAACATATAAACTTATTTTTCTCAAAAAAGTCCAATAATAACTGCTATTTAAAAAAAATAAAAAACTGTTTTATCATCTCAATACTCTCTGTAAAAGGTAATAAACATTTCTTAACATATGGCAACTCTTTACAATCCAATCGGAATTTTTGTCAGTTTTTTATCCTCGTTAAAATTTTCCAGTTTATAGTTTGCTCTATTAAAATTAATAATTTCAATTATTAAAAGTTAATAAATTGTAATAAATTGTGTGTTAAAATGACTAGTATTGATTATTCTACATAATTATTAAATAAAAAGTTTCGAAAACTTCAATAGTAAAGTGAAAATTTAGAAAAAAGTTAGTGCAAATTTTCATACATCACTTTGTTGTGGTCGTCTAGTGAAATGTTAATACAAGGCAAAGAAGAAGAAGAAAAAAAGATGTCGGTTAGAAAATGCCAATGCAGTAAATTTAATATAAATGTGTACATTTAATACAGTTTAATACGAAAAGTAGGAAGTAAAATACATACATACATGTAAAAAAAAGTTTTACTAAATAAAGCAAAATAATAGTTTATATTCTATTTGTGCC